CCTAGCCTTTGTGGGACCTGATTGGCTATTGCAGAGATCGTCTTATGTGCCGAAGTACTCGTTAGCGGCAGCGAGCCTTCGGACATGCTCGCCTATGTGGAGTGAGTCACCACACATGCTCAGCCATTCACGTCTGGAGTAACCTTCCGGCTTCTCCAAGGTAGTTATTTTGTCCACAGCTGCACCAGATACGGTAAACGACTTTAGCCGTTTCCTGCCGTGACAGTGGGTCTTTTGGTCTCATGACCCGGCGCCTGATGGTTGCTTCTGGCCTGAGTGAGTAGACGGCTGACCGCTTCCGATACGTTCTTCACATACGGAAGAGCTTGCCAAACTTTTGGGCCCGTTGGATGTGGCTTCTTCTCTCGTTTGCGAATGCATTCGTTGACAAAATTGCGCGGGAATCCATTCGCTCTCAGTACCCGTCGAAGATTTCTTCCGCTGTCTTCCGCTTCGCTGCAATGCATCTCCACGCTCCGGTAGAGCGCTCTTACGCAGCTGTGTTTGTGGCCGATTGGGTGGTTGCTATTGTAGTTCAGGACTTGCATAGTGTATGTTGCTTCCCTGAATTTAAACGTCTCTGCCGACTAAAGCTATTTTTTCTTACCTCTCACACTCTAGCTGGCTAATTGGGCCAGTGCGTGATTGCCAGTAGTGTATTGTTTCCCTAATTTTGTCCGTCCAGTTGTTCGACAAGCGAAACTTCATGCCACATCATGTCATTTTGCGCAAAATGCCCTTCCGTGAACGGGTACTCCCGACGCAAATCTGGTCTCAATATAAGATTTAACCTCATAGGTAGTCACGTAGGATATGAATGTGTTTGAAGTTGCTATCAGCCTATCGCGGCTAGGGGAGCTATTCGATAAAACCCTAGCCGGTAAGACCTTGTGGCGCAGTTCCGTATGAGAAGATAAGGAGTGGGATGCCAGTCAATCATACAAAAAACACACTGTTCCAACAGCAAACTTTACTAAATCGAACACAGTGATGAGTGCTGCGGGCAAAATACCACAATTTGCAAAAGACTGGTCATCACTCACAAAACAATATTGAGTAGGATTACAATAATGACTATCTTGCAGTCTAACATCAAATTTTTTCCATCGCTTTGTAATGAGCTCCTTTCTAACCGTTGACAAAAAGGAGATCCTGCAACAATGCCTACTCAAATAGTACGCATTTTGATCATGAAGTTTCACTGCCTTTATAAATTCAAAAATATTTTGTAGAAATCATCGAAGAAAATATTCTTTTCTTGTACTCGCTTGGTAGGAAATTACGCCTTTGTTAAATAGTATACTCAACGAAAGGGCATCCTTCGATTTTAAAACATTTCGAATTAGGTGTTTTTTTTTATCAGTGTGAGGTGTTCATTCATAGCACATTGTATCCGTCAACTTATTAATGCTGCGTATAATGTATACAGCATTATCCACATCTATTGCAAAGTTTTATGAGAACTATGCGACGTCTTCCTCAAACCGTAGGCAAACACGTTTTTTTCTTTAAACAGAATGTACCCAGCATGATATTTAGAAACCTCGAAATCAGTTGTAGCAGTCGGTAATTTTAAAAATTATTCGGCAATTATGACACTTTTTTAAAACCGAAAGATAGCCTTTCTTTAAATATGAAATTAAACAAGGCGTAACTTGCTACCAAACGAGGACAATCTAGGATATCTTCGTGCAGGTTTTCCATAAAATATATTAGAATGCGAGGCCCAGGTAATTGAATAGAAGGCGGAAGAGCGTTCTCTGGGACCA